TATGCTGTGTGGACAGAGACTACCCAGAGATCAGTGTGATCTCAAAAAATGTGATAATTTGTCCCCGTTTCTGCCTTCCTCCAGTTTTCTCTTGGCTGAACGTGATAAGATTGGAAAATGTTGAATTGCTTGTTTACTTACATTAACCACATTTTTTTTCCTTTAATACAAGTGTATATATTTGGAGAAAAATATTGAGTTAACAGCTCTGAACAAAGAAATACTCTGCTTTCAGAGGTATTCACATGGTTAGTTATTCCCCCTCCTGTCCTTCCTCCAGTATCTCTTCCATACTTTGAAAGATTAAAAAAGCCACAGGCCTGTGAAAAAAAAAAAAAAATTAACTGGAAAAATCTCTTGGCCTCTAAACATAGTTTGTAAACAGTTAAGAGTATCATTACTAGCACCCCTGGGAGTTAATCAAACAGCAGCCATATCTCATGGAACCAGCTACATAAAATCATTTACCATGGAGCATTCCTTACGGTGAACATTTGGAAGGTTATTAACGGTCCTTGTTGAGATTGTTGAGGTATTCCCCTCTTTGATAACTAAAAGGCAATATCCAGGTGGTGAATTAAGGACAGGGAAAGTGGATAGTGGCTACGTGACACAGGCTGCTGGAGAGCTTCAAAGCTAGGTGTTAGTGGAGTAGACTTGATCAAAAAACCCCAGAAGTTACGAACTAATGTTCCAGCTATGATGGAGATGTGTAGATGGTAGGGAATTATCACCACTGGAAGCTGCTGACTGTGTGACATAAGAAGCTCAAATTACTGGTTATGCCAATTCACTTTAAGCTATCAAAATCACTGAAAGTTAGGCAAGTCCTTACAGTCCTTTCTGTTCACCCTAGTCATTAATCCCTGGTATGACCAAAGAACACACAAAGACTGAAAGTATTGGGCTCCTAGAATGAAAAAGAGACCATGCCAGTGGATTTCTAGTGATCAGAGTAAGGTTAAACTTGGAAATGAGACAGAATATCAGGAAGGTCTCCACTGGTGACGTAAAATGTAGGACTACAGCTGTCTCAATGGTTCTGCTGCTGCAAGTCCCAATATTGTGAAAAAAACAACCACCCCACTCCTACTTTCAGAAAGCAGGAAAGGTGAGAAATTTGCATTTTTTTGGCACATATTTTGGAAAGCTGAATGCTTCTGCCAGAGGATACTCTGCATTTTTACACTCAGGATCCTCTTGCTTGCTTTCTCTTTGTATTCCAAGTGATGGCAATGTATTAATTTTGTAAGAAAACTTACTATCCCAGAGGAAATTAAACTGTAACACAAAACTAGCTTGGTTTCTAAAATCTAGATTTCTCATGGTAAGGCCAGAGAATTATACAACACATTTATTTGCACCTATCCTACACAAATGCAAAAATGTATCAGAAATCTCACAAGAGATTCAAGAGAAGAGAGGGCCACCAGCACTGTGGTAATCAAGGGGGTTAAAAAACTTATTGAAGTGGGAAAAAAGGAACAAAATTTCCTCCTTAAAAATACCTTCATGGGCAAGAAGAGGAACATTAATTTAGCAGAGTTATATCTGCTGGTCAAATAAACCAGGGTAAGGTTTGCTGTCTCCAAGGACATGAATATGTGTGTCATAGCCTTGTGTTTTGGTACTCTTCAAAAACCAGCATGTTCAGGGATTTAGCTCATTTTCTCAGCGCTCCTGAATCCATGTCTCAGCTAGACAATATGGAGGAGCTGGAGAACTAAAAATAGTTTACACATACTTCTGTGTTCTGACAAAGACCACTTCTGAGAGTATCTTACTCCAAAATCATCCTCTGACAGACAAACAGGCACAATTCTGACATTCTGGACCTGTCTGTGAGGTTTTAATGGAACTGAAAATCAGTAATTGCATTTATTATGATTTTGTGATACATGTCTTTTTTGTGGGGTGAAGGTTCTTAAGGCCTCGTCTACACACAATATTAGCACCACATACTGTCCTTTGCACAACTGCAGTTATAGTAGTGTAGCAAGTTCTTTTGCTGGTATTGGCTGTTCCCTGAGACTGCAGTAACAGTGACTACTTGAACACAACCACCACACTCTCAACTGTATAGTACTATGTGAGAGACAGCCTAAGAAATTGTCTCAATTTCAAACCAGAAATGGCCTTGAGGAGCAGTATACAATGATACATCAGTGCTGAAGTGACATGCAGATTGAATGCTGTCTTTTATAAAGCATTCAGCAGTGAATATAAAGCAGTGAAACTTATAAATGATGGTGGGAAGAGGACACTGTATAAATACCATTTTTTGCTTTGTCTGCTTAAGTACTGCAGACAATATAAAAAGCAGGAACGCGTGTATCCATACAAAACCAACCAGTTCTCTAGAAGCAGGTCAATTTGGAGGCTGTTTCATAGCCAGGAAAGTTTCATGATAACTCAAGCCATATTAGGCATTTCTACTGGTCAATTACATTGACTACAGTCACAGGTGGATACAAATGGATGTATAGCTTATTTAGGGGTGTTAACCACAGTTACAGAAAGAGATTTGAGTAAAATACATGTTGCAGGTATTACTAATATATCCCATAATAGGCCATAATAATATAATTTCAGGAATTATATAGGGTTGAAAGTCATACCATAATCTCAAATTTCAAGACTGTAAAAATGGACTAACCATTTATTAAAACATCTCACACTTACTACTGACTGTGCAAAGCAACTTGTGAGTGTAACCTTAATATAGAATGCATATAAATCCTGAGAATAATTATAATGACATTTTCCCCGAAAGAGCAGTTCATTTAAAAAGTATTTCTTAATTATGATATTTGAAGTAAGTCTTTAATATGCTATGTCTCACTGAATTTTAGTTTACACTCTAATATACTAGCCTATGAGACTTCTCCAACTAAACAATACAGCTTGCAGCCCAAAGCCTCAACTTGTTCCGAGAAGTTCATTATGTGCTCTAGGTTCTTCCTACAAAAATGCTTACCACCAGCTCCACAGAACATACAGACCCTTCTTCCTTGGGGCAAGTTCCTTGTTCAACCATCAGGTAAAGAAGCAGGAACAAGATGCCTCCAGAACATAAATAATTAACTTCTGGAACAATTGTACAATGGTAGAATACCATTTTGCCTATGATAGTCTAGAGTGACTCCCTGTGCTTTTCTTTATCCTGTATTAAAGCAGTAGAATTAGAGGTAAGAGGATATGCAGCTATACATATATAATTCTAATCTAAAGCACGAAACCAATAAAAAAAATAATAAAAGAACAGAAACTGTGGAACAGTGAGAGAACTATTCCAACTCAGGCAGTTTTATACTACCTACCACTTACTTCTTGATGAGGGTGTGGCCAAACCAATTCCAAAATTGTGTTCTGTGAAACTCTGCATGATATCTAAACCCCTGGTTCTGTTGGAGGTTTGTCTTTTATTTCAGTGGGACAGCCATGTCACACTGAAGATTTTATGGATATATTTGTGCACAATAATGAGAAGTACACTTTGAATAGAATAGAATAGAACAGAACAGTTCCAGTTGGAAGGGACTTGCAACAATCTTCTAGTCCAAGTGCCTGACCACTTCAGGCCTGATCAGAGTGAGATAGTTGTCACACTGATGGTTATCACACTAGCCAAATTGAATTTACATGCAGTAGCGTTTTATTCAGCAATTACAGAGCTTGAGACAAGAAGTGCATGTAGTTTATGCAGTCAGACACAAACAGACTTTTATAGAGTCCTGGAGCTTGGCTGGCACGATAAAAGACCTTTGAAGAGTCATGGTCCTTGAAGCAGGTAATGCTTGCATCTATATAGTTTGTAGAAAGAGAATTCCATGATGATCCAGTGCTGGTGACAATTTGCCAGCAGCAATTCCTTTCAAATATCAAGATCTAGTTAATTTATAAAATGTTTGAGTTTCTCAGTGGATTTTAAGTCTGTGGTCTCCTTTCCTTGGACTATATGCTGTGCAATGCTGGTGAGCAGTAACTTCCCCTGGCCACACCATTTGCCTCATCTTGTTGTTTGACTGCTTCTTTGTCCTCTTTGTTATGTCTAAAGCAGTGTTCCCAGCTCTTAAGGTTATAATTCTTCAATAACTAGAAGCTGACTGCCAGTGAGATGTGTACAGCCTTGTGGCCTGTTTTCAGCCTACGCACATATTTTCAAGGTCTCTGGTATTATCCCACACTTAAACTCCACACCATAACAAAAGAGGTACCAAGCTTCAGTTTGCACTGCAAATTCGCAAAAGCTGGTAACAAGCCTAACAGGCCACCAGTTCTGTGGCTTGCAAGGCTAGCATTAGGTTTCTTACTAGCAATGGCAGTTATCATTTTTACTGGGCCACCCAGACAACAATCACAGGCAGTATACCTCCTTGTGGTGACAGCAAGAATTTGTTTTCCATAGATTTTCTCTATTTCAGCCCAGCATCTGAATTTAAGATTCCACCCAAGTTCTGACTAGCCAAGATTACCAGCATGTTTCCCTTTTGCTCTGTGCAACTTTCTCTTGCATGTTTGAAAGCCAGCCTGTGTATTTTGAATGGGTCCAGATGTGCTAGCAGTTCAGTAAATTGCAGTAATGGATGGACTTATCCTGTCACCAGATCTTGTAGAGCTTAAATAACTGTTTTCCACAGGGAAGATGTGGGAGACTGAAGCTGGATAAAGTATTTGGAGGGGGTGGCTGGGACAGTGTGAGCAAGACAACTGTGACTGACAAACAGTGACTAAGGGTTAGAGAGATGGGAAGGGATTCAGAAGGGAAAAGATATAAGGAGAAACTAGGGAATAAAGAGAATAAAGAGTGGCACTGGATGATACTGGGTCAATGGACTGGGGAGAACTGGGTGAAGCCCAAGAGCTGAGGAGCTGAAGAAGCTGGACTGAAAGGCGTGGGACAGGGGAACTTGAAGGAGACTGGTTTCATAAAAGATGCTGCTGGGAACAGCAGCTGAGGGGGCTGAGCCATGAAACTCAAAGAGCTTTTTCCTGGTGCGATGAGTAACATGAGACAAATGGGACTAGGAATAAGGAGTCTGCATGAGAAAATACAGGAGAGAGACACTGAAGGGTACAGAACAGATGGTGTTAAATCTTTTTCCTAAAAAGTCACAGGTGAGGGGCTGTGATCCATTAGAACACATTCAAAATTGGTAAAGTTCTTGAATTTAACCAGAGGCCTGCCATCAGCGTATTTTCTCCCTTCTTCAGCACAACTGTCTCCTCTCCTTCAGTTATTTCCTGTACCAAAGGAGCAGAGATCTGTATGTTCCAACCCTGTGCTTATCACTGGGACACACTGCTTTTTGATTTGACAATGCACATGATTAGGGCTATGACACAAAGCACATATTTAGGGCTATAAAAACCTCAGAAGGTAAGGGCTGCTACTTTTAAGATTGTTTTTCAGTCATCTGTTTTGCCTCTTCTAGCATACTTATAGAACAGTCAGCAAAATATCTCCTCCAAAAGGAATCTTGCCCCAGGCTCTACCAAGTGTGGTGGAGGTCACTGTCCTAAAGTCTGTACATTCTGTGTTTAGAAGATAGCAGCCTGACAGTGATCAAAGCTTTAGGGAAGAGAAAAGCTGGTCCCTAAATTGAGTAAGTTCTGATTCACCATGTATTTGCTGCCGAGTTGCTGGGCAATGCTGAGCAAATCACTAAAACAAGCTTTTCACATCTAACTGCCCATTTGTATTCTATATCTTATGGCTGGCTTATTCAAGGCATTGTGATTTAGTTTACAGAAGTGTTGAATTCTTGCAGCTACAAATCAGTAGGAGAAGTGTGCTGAACCAATGTGATATATATAAAATACCTGGTCTTTGGCATCTCTAAATTGGCACTGGGAGTAAAGAGACACTGTCCACTCTAATCTTACTGTACCTCAGTTCTACTCTGTAGGGGCAGAGGAGGGAGGACTGTACAGTCTGTAAATTGAGGGCAGGGAGGGGGGGAGTAATTCTCTCTCACCTTGCTGAGAGGTGTGTAAAAGTAAATTATTACTTTAAAAAGCTTCTGCACTCATAAAAGGCACAAGGGAGATCCATAGGACAGAAGTTAATAAATCTGTTGTCAGAGCAGCAGTTGAAAAGTATGTGGTGCAGAAAGCCTGGGCTGACACACAAAACAATGAATACTTAGTGTCAGCATCCATGGGCCCAATAGTCCCATGTCAGCTTAGCTGGGGGCTGTCAGTCCTGCCGCAGTGCTGCTGTAGGAGTGCCAGTCTACACCTCAGCCTCCTGGCCTGCCTGGCTGACATTGCAGCTTGACCTCAGACCTGCCTTATCACTGTAATCTGTGGGCTGAGGTCATAGCCAAAGCCATTCCCAGTTGGTTTGTAGACTTCAGTCACAATTTCTCATCAATTTGCATTCACTTCCATTGTGAGACGCACATCTTGGATTTGGATCCAGTTGCTTTTCTCCAACAGATCAGAGGGCACAGTGAACAACAGCTTCAGGTCCTGATACACAGTTCATGCTTCCAGCACCTTGGAAAGAAATCCTTGTCCACTGTTGCTCTTGGAGGTGAAGGTCAATTGGCCTGCTCTTTATAAGACAGATGGTGTTAAATATCTCTATGGAATGAGCATGGAGGGGAGAGACTGAGATCATACCACCTACCTCAGAAAAGAAACTGGCATTCTTGAGCCAGCTGAAATGCATATGATGGCTGGTAAAGATGAGATAGTCTGAGCAGCTTAAACTAGCCATATTTCTGTCCACTGCTTAAAGATACTTGTCAGTGTTGCAAGGCAGTACAAAATAGCATTCTAGCAGATGTCGCCCTAGTCCTATATGACCTTTCAAAATCCTAATATTTCCTGGGAAAAGTAACATGCTTGGGTAGATAACTTGGCAAACAGAAGAAAGGATGTATTTCCTGCTAGCAATTACCTAACAAATTTACTTCCTTGGGAGGCCAGCATGCACAGTCCCTGCCAACGCTGCGCCATATCCTGTTTTTGTCAGTGTTCAACATGTGCTCCCTACTGTGGGCAGTGCTGATTTTCTCTGACACTACATACAGCTCTAGTTGTTTTACTCCAGACTGTTGAGAAAGGAGATTCATGAGAAAAGGGCCTAATTTTACTTTTCTTCTACCTCTTATTTGACCTGTTCTGTGTTGTCATGCTATAACTTTACAGATAGTCCTAGCTATTAGTTTTCCCCTCAACACTTCAATACATGTAAACCATGGTGTACTGTGTTCTAGCAGCTGCATTTTATGACACCATTCATCTCACCATAACAACCGGTGTCTGAAAGCTCATACTATCATCTCTGCCTTTGATTTGCAAGACTAAATGTAGGAAGATGAAGTTCACAGAAAAGGAACAAGAGATCAAAATAAAATGGAGGAACTGCTGAAAGTGGTAATGTAGTTCAAGTGTGACTCCATGAAAGCTCACAGCTCTGTTTTTTTTCTTAGTTCCCTTGTGGAGAAAAGTTGCCTGATCTACATGCTCATAGCCTACATGTGTGAGCTTAAAGAGGTGGTGAACAGTGCCTATGCAGGGACTTGTGGGTACTTCAGAACTCATGCTCAGCCCCTGTCAGGTATGTGGTAGGCTCCTCAAGGAGGACAACCTCCATGTGCAGAATGAGAACCAGACTTTTCTGGCCCTGATCTCATAAGTGAAATTCAGGAAAGACGAAAGATAAACATATTCCAATTAGATTTTTGCCTATATCCACTTACCTGGGGTCTCAGCCATGATATGCTGATGCTCAACAGTCATTCTGGCCCTCTCGCTCAGACAGAAATGATTTTGAGTGACAGGAAGCAGGAACGTGCTTGAAGACTTCTTTCTTTTCCAGAGAAAGGGGCCATTAACTAAAGAGTATGTAAGATTTGATGATGAGGGTTTTGCTTATACTTTTGAGCTTACATGTTTTGCTTACATGTGGCTGAAATTGACAGAGATGCCATGTAGTGCAGCTGCTCCTAGTGCAACATTAGCAGTTAGTGTCACTGGAGGAGTAACAGACCAGATCACTACCTCAAATACAGCTCAGAGACATGACGTAGAAAACAATTCCTGCATAGAGGTACTGCCTATAGGTTTGGTATTCCACATCATGGTGACCTGTGGAGGAGTAGTGTACACCCCTGGAGATTTTGCTGATGTGAGGAAATATGTCTCTAACACTTGCAAGTACTGTGATGGGAGGTAGGATAACTGGACTCTGACTGGGAAAATAAGCATTCCCATGGATGCTACTGCCTTGATCACCAAAGGAAAAAAGTCAAGTTAGTTTATCTTGTGACAAGGCAACTGAATGGGTGCTTCCTATATGTTCAGATGGTAGATTACTTTGACACTCAGACAGGCAACGTGGTGCAATGCCTCACCTTCCATATTCAATTCAACCATAAACCTGTTGTTGTCTTTTCCACAGGAAAACATCCTGAGCTTGCAGAAAAAGTAGTGAGCAAATTAGTTGTGATATTACTAAATACCTGCACTTTAGATTTGTTGCATCCAGTGTGCTCAGTTGGAGACCACAAGGAGGTCCCTCCCGTATGGAGGCATTTTTTATGCAGATGAAAGATGACCTCAGGAATATTCTCTCAGTTCAAATACCTTCTGACTACACCAGAAAGGAGGGAAATGGGAAAATTCTGGCAGATCCTTCAGAAGTTCTTGACTATTCAGTTTCCCATACAGTCAAACTACCCTTCAAAGTTCTTCTAAAAATTGCAATTAATTTGGAAAGGTAAAAAGAGAAATCCCTGTCAATAAAGAATGACTTTTCACTTGCACCAAAGCCTTCTTCACTTGACTTCCTTACTTTGCAACAGTTTATATACTGGGCATGATGTCCCATGGTATGGAATACCCCTTTGGCCAGTTGGGGTTAGCTGTCCTGGCTGTGTCCCCTCCCAGCTTCTTGTGCCTTTCCAGCCTTCTTGCTGGCTGGGCATGAGAAGCTGAAAAATCCTTGACTTAGTGTAAACTCTACTTAGCAACAACTGAAAACATCAACATTCTTCTCATCCTGAACCCAAAACACAGCACTATACCAGCTACTAGAAAGGAAATTGTCTCTATCCCAGCTGAAACCAGGACAGTTGTGATTTCTACTCAGCATGTATTTCAATAATCCCTTTATTTCAAGTGGCTGTCATTCATTTTAGGGTGAATTAAACCAATTTAAAACCTTCATACTTTGAAAAACAGTTTACAACAGAAATAGGCTCGGAATTAAAGAGTTATATGTAGTAGCTTTCTCTCATGAGTTGTTTCTGTGCAGGCAGATTCTTCTCAGGCATTTGTGACTTGTGTTGCGTTTGGGCAAGGTGAGATAGTCATTCTGCATCTCATGCTTTTGTGTCTACAAATCATACCAAGAAAATGTCACTGCTTTACTGTTTCTAAGGAAGACAACAGGAATTTAGTCAATGGAATAAGTATTTGATTCTTTGCTAATATTTTAATTAGATTTACTACATAAGGAGTTACAGAAGTTTCACCATCAGTGATACTGAAGGACTCAGAGTGCCTTGTGAAGAAGGAGCCTTGGGAATCCAATCTGTAGAAGAAAGATACAATAAAGATTGTCCAGAAAACTTAATGGAAAACAATTTAGTGAATGAATTTTTTTATATGCTATTGAAGGGAAATTTTTCACTGAATACTTCTTACAGTGTTGAGGAAATTTACAATTTCTGTTGTAAATTAAATAGGTCCCTTCAGTTATGTCAGAAAAGATGAGAGTGAGGTCGTAGAACAGAAAGTTACGGGCTTACTATCTGCACAGTTGCAATCAGTTTGATCAGACATGCTAGGAAGTTATCCTCTGTGGAAAACTATTTTTTCTCTCAGGTCAGTTCTGTCAGGCAGGCTGACAAGTCTTCCTGTGGATGGAAGAACTTGACATGCAAGGCATTCTCAAAGGACAAGAAACTATGAAGTCAAACATACGTATCACTGCTTTACGGAATCAGGACTTCTGTGTTATCTTTCACTAGTGAAGAATTCAAAAGGTTTTTCTGTGAACTTGAACTTTTTCTTGAAGATATGAAGAACAATTACTCTCTTCCAGTCTCAAGGAACTCTCCCAATTGCCATGACCCTTCAAAGATGATTGAGTGGCCTCAAAATGACGTCAGTCATCTTCCTTGCTAACAGGGCTGCCAGAGAAGAATAGGTTAAACAAATTTAATAGGTGAGGGATAAGGGGCTTCTTACAGGCTTCAGCTGTTCTACATGGTAAGACTTTTTTTCCTCCTGGTAATGAGCCTTGAACTTTGTTATGGTTTAAGCCCAGTCAGTAACAAAGCACCATGAAGCCACTCGCTCACTCCTCCTCCCCAGCCCTGGTGGGATGAGGAGGAGAAAATATAAAGAAAAGCTTGTGGGTCGAGACAAGGACAGGGAGGGATCACTCACCACTTATGTTTATGGGCAAAAAACAGACTGAACTTGGGGAAAAATTAAATTTGTTACCACTCAAATCAAAACAAGGATAACAAGAAGTAAACACAAATGTTAAAACACCTTCCCCCACCCCTCCCTCCTTCCCAGGCTCAACTCCACTCCCAGTTTTCTCTACCTCCTCCCCCCAGTGGCACAGGGGAGCCGTGAATGGGGTTGGGGTCAGTTCATCACACATTGTCTCTGCTACTCCTTCCTCCTCAGGGGAAGGACTCCTCACTCTTCCCCTGCTCCAGCGTGGGGTCCCTCCCACGGGAGACAGTCCTCCATGAACTTCTCCAACATTGGTGCTTTCCACAGGCTGCAGTTCTTCACGAACTGCTCCAGTGTTCCAGGGTTCTTTCTGTGGGCTGCAGTCCTTCAGGCACAGACTGCTCCAGCGTGGGCTTTCCCATGGAGTCACAGCCACCTTTGGGAGCAGCCACCTGCTCCAGTGTGGGCTCTTCCATGGGCTGCAGGGGGACAGCCTGCTGTCTCACCATGAGCTGTAGGGGCATCCCCTCCTTCGGCACACCTCCTCCCTCTCCTTCTTCACTGACCTTGCTGTCTGCAGAGGGGTTTCTCTCACATCCCACTCCCCTCTCTGCTGCAAGTTCCCCTTCTTAAATATGTTCTCCCAGAGGCACTATGACCATTGCTGATGGGCTCGACCTTGGCCAGAGGCGGGTCCAACTTGGAGCCAGCAAAGCTTCTGGCAGCTTCTCACAGAAGCCACCTGTGCAGCCCCTTCCCTGCTACCAAAACCCTGCCACACAAAGCCAAAACAAACCTGAAAACGGCAATCAGTCAGCTGACTTGCAAATGTGTTCCAGAAAATAAGTAATTTTTTCTTCTGTCCTACATATTGCTTCTTCTTCCTGATAATTAATGGGGTTTGTACCAAGAGCAAAAATAGACCCTTTAAGCACATTCTCTCTTGTTATTTATTTCATATAGCTCTCTAATAACAGCACAAAAATGTTGACCTTCACCATCTTTATGGAAATGGAACATGCTATAGGAGTAGCTTTTCTCTGTGCATTCCTCTGATTTTGCCTCTTCCTTTCAGAAAAGCAGATGCTGTCAAGAAAACAAATAGTAATGGCATCAGAAAGCCAGTCCTAGTTTTCCTTGTGCTTCTAAGGAAATATGACCCGTGGGGAGCCACATGCTATTGTTTCACTATCAGAAAGACACCTATTGCTATACTGAATTTGTATGTACCTAAATCAGACACTTCACCTCGCATTACAAATAAATTTGGAGCACCTTATTAGGTCTGCTGTAAGCAAATGATTGTACCCTTCAGGAATCCTAGGGCTCTGCAACCAAAAAAAAGTCTGGAGCAAGGAAGACTTACTCTGGGTGGAGGAAGACCAGTTAGAGAGCACTTAAACAAATGACATACATAAGTCCCTGGGCTGCACCCATGAGTGCTGAGAAAGCTGACTGATGTCATTGGGAGGCCACTCTTGATAATCTTTGAAAGGCCATGGCAATTGGGAGTGTTCTTCAAGACTAGAAGAGAGCAAGTGTCACACCTATCTTCCAGGAAGGCAAAAAAGAAGAATCAAGGGAACAACAGGCCAACCAGCTTCATGCGCATCCCTGGGAAGGCGATGAAGCAACTAATCCTGGACATGAATCTCAGGAAGGACAAGAAAGTGATCAGGAGTAGTCAGAGTGGATTTACAAAGGGGAAGTCACGCTTAACCAACCTGATAACCTTCCACAGTGAGCTGGCTAGCTTATTGGATGAATGGAGAGGATGTTGTTTACCTTGGCTTTAGTAGGGCTTTTAACACTGTCTTCCACAACATCCTAATAGACAAGCTGACGAAGTATGGGTTAAATAAATGGACAAATAAATGGACACTGAGGTGAATTGAAAACTGGCTGAACAACCAGGCCCAGAGGTTATGATAAGTGGCACAAAGTCAAGTTGGAAGCAAGTCACTAGTGGTATACCTCAGGGACTGATACTGGGGCCAATACTGTTTAACTTCATTAATGACCTGGATGATGGGGCAGGTGCTGCTTCAGCAAGTTCACAGATGATACAAAACCAGGAGGAGTGGCTGTTACACCAGGGGGTTGTGCTGCCACTCAGAGAGGCCTTGGTAAGCTGGAGAATTGGGCAAAGAGGAATCTCATGAAGTTCAACAATGGGAAATGCAGTCTTACACTGGGGTGACAATAATTCCATTATGGTAAGAATAACTCTTCAGTACATGCTGGGGACTGAGAAGCTGGAGAGTAGCTCTGCAAAGAAGGACCTTGGGGTCCTTGGGAGCAAGAAGCTGACCATCCACCAGCAATATGCCCTCACAATGAAGAAGGCCAACAGCATCCTGGGCTGCATTAGGAAGACCATAGCCAGCATGTCAAGGAAAGTGATCCTTCCTCTGTACTCAGCACATCTGGAGTGCTGAATCCAGTTTTGGGCCCACAGAACAAGAAAGACATGGACATACTGGAGCAAGTCCAGGGCAGGACCACAAAGATGATTAAGGGACTTAAGCAAGTTTCATATGAGGAGAGGCAGAGAGCTGGGACTATTTAGCTTGGAGAAGTGATGGCTCAGGGGAATCTTATCAGTGTATATAAATACCTGATGGGAGAAAATGGAGAAGAGGGCAATAGTGTCCAGTGACAGGAGAGCAGCCAATGGACACAAATTAAAATTAGAAAAAATATATATAAAAAAAGGACATTCAGTCTGAACACAAGAAAACCTTTTTTACTGTGAGGGTGGTCAAACACTGGAACAGTTTGTCCAGAGACATTGTACAGTCTTCATCTGTGGAGAATACTTAAAACCAGACGGTGACAGTCCTGGGAAGCCTGCTATTGCTGACCCTGCTTGAGCAAGCAGGTTGGACTAATCAGCCTAAGCAATTCTGTGACTTACCCGCCACTTCTTTTGATAAAAAATCAACCCTTAATGTCTAATTCCTTATAAAAAATCCTACATTGCATTCTATTCTCTGGGTTCTTTAGCCTAACTCAATCCATTAAAAATAGGGTTTCACAATCTCACGTTCCCAAGACTTTATCTTTATGGTATTGCTGCTTCTGTCATTCATATTATTTCAAGTATCTTGTCCCCATATTTGCAAACCTGCCTCTTCATACCACTCCTCCCTGATCTCTTGTAATATTATTTCCTACTGTTCTGCTCTGACAGTCTGTCCCTCTGCTTTGTTCATCTTTGTGCAGCTCTCTGCTTCCCTTAGGCATGGGACAATGTCTATCCTCTGCTTATTCAGATTCTACTTGAGTACCAGCACTGCTGTGATGGTTAGAGATAAAGCCATTAACAGTGACAAGAAGTAGTAGCACTGCACCACATGTCTATTAGCTGTAAGTACATTTCTTACTTTACCTGCTACTTCTGGGTGTCCTTTGGAAAGCAGATGCACCTCTTACATTGGGACGTTTGTGTTTAAAATAGCAGACACTATCAGCAGTGTCTCCTCTTTACTCCATCCAGTTGAATTCTCATGGCAACTAATCAGCATGGTAGACTGAAAGCAGTGTTGGCTTGCTGTGGTACTGGAGGCCTTGCAGCAGAAGACACGTTTGTCAATATGCATATGAAGTAAGGGTGAGACCCTTCAAGCCCTCTCACCTAGGTGGTGAGTCAGTGCTACCCAAGGAGTCTCTGTCATGAAACAACTGCCTTCCTTCTCGAGGTGAGAACTACATATATTTAAAGGCTAGCCTCTCTTGGGTGTTCTAGCAATAAACTTATGTCTGCAGTTTGATTGTCTGAATGTGTGAATTGCTCTCTGCTCTTCCAAGGTAAACAGAGTGGGCAGCTGGCTTATTCAAGCTGTTAATGTCAATATGAGTTATAGTCCCTGGCTTCGCTTTAATTCCAGCCCTGTCAAAAGAAGGTGAACAGCTGCAGCATGCGTCTGTGGTGCAGATGGACTTAAATTGAAGGACAGTGAAGTGTAGGCATGTTTTCTTTGTGGGCTTTAGTCTTCATAAACCTATTTAGTAGAACTGTTAATTGTAGCTGTAACTGCCCAAGTCAGTGTATGTGCAGTGATGTCTACAAATGTGCTCTGAGGGAGCATCCAGATTGATGTTAAGTGATGTGCAGGGTAGCTGCTGTGAAGCAGACAGAAGCTGTTAGCTTTACGTGCCTCTCAAACCAGTTCTTTCTAGCTCCTGTAACTTGCAGAGGAGTAGCAATTAAACAAAGTAGCTACAACCTTTCAGATATAGGAGTCTAGTTATAAAAGATGAGGTTCTCATAACTGAAAAGCTAGTTTTTGTTAACTTCTGTCTATAGCTTGAAAGTCCCTAGCCATCAGCAGCTCGGGGGAACCTCTGAATTGATTTCAGTGGACCTGGACCAGACCCTAGTCATTATGTGCTATCGCCTTCTAATTGCTGTTAACTGTTGGCTTTTGTGCAATGAGGTTCTAGTCAGGGAGATTTCCTGAGATGTGGTTCATGTCCAGATGTCAGTTGTATAATGCCTTTCTCATCTGCATGCTTCCGGAGAGTTGGAAAGACTTGCATTTAAATTTTCTCTTCTGGAAACATCCGTTCTACTAAATATTTAATTTCTTAAATCAAAAACATTCTGAAGGAGTCAGTAAAAATCCCACTACTCTGTTGCAATGATTTCCCTCATGTTGGAAGTGCAGAACTGCAATCCCATATTTTTGTAAATGTTTGAAAACATCTTTTTAAACTATTTTTAAAACAGATCTCCGTACATTTAGAAATTGGAATTATATGTCATCCTCTTTCAAAGAATGGAGAGAAACAGAACTACCCTGAAAGTCTTCTCTAGTCTGATTGCCCTTTAGTCTTTCCATGAAGGTTTATTCATGTAATATTCCTGTAATAAACTCTTCTCCTCAATGTGACACATCAACAAGCCACTGTCTATGAATTATGAGGGCTATTACTCTTATGTTTTGTAGTGGCCTTTAAGGAGTGACATCTGCCTTTAGAAAAGGAGCACAGATGACTGTGGAGAGATGGAACACAGATGACAATTTTCTTGGGCCATTTGCAAGTTTGTAATTCTGCTTATATTTCATATGCCTTTGTCCCTATTCTGCAATTTTAAGACATGCATGTAACCAGATTTGCTTTTCATTTTAAATCACAATATTCTATTTGTGTTTGTGGCATTAAGTCATCAGAAATCCCCCACAGGGCTGAGGCAGTAGAAGAGCAAAAGAGGAAGTTACTAGGTTGTCTTCCAAAATTCACTATTCACAGTTAAAGGGAAGCAGTGAGATATTCCACTTTTGTTTACATGAAGGAAAGAAGAGCACTGAAAATGCACACAGGAGTTGTTAGAAGAAATTATGGGACAAAGCCATTGAGTTTCTGTGAGAGCATGGCATACACTTCATGATAATGTTTCATTTTTACAGTCTCCTCTTGTGAATTATGGGCCTGCTTACTGCTGTTATTCTTAATTCTTTAGTTTTCCTGTGGCTGCTGGAGTTTACCTAAAATAAATAACCTTGCTGTGTTTCTCCTAGAAGACAAAATTCAGAGAAGTCTAGCCTCCTGCTGTGCCAAATTCTGAGTTTTCACAGGAGAAACCAGGCACATGAGGTGAAGTCAGCTTTCTGTCACCTGTCATGAGTTTGCTTGCTCTTTTTTCCTTAGCAAATGATGTTAACAGTAGGGAAGAATGTGTAACTCACCATGTGTTTTATCTCGCACTATTAAATTCACATAGGGAACAACTGACTTGCAGAGTTACATTTTCCTCTGAATTTGGTCACCTTCTGAAAGAGGCTTGAAAGGATTATAAGGTAAGCCTGGGTGGCATACCTCTAACATACCATGAAACATACACACAGACTTATAGGCAACACGTAAGTGGAGTTTAACAAGTACCTCCTGCAGCAACTGCGCTAACTTAAGAGCTGCTAGCATAATTTTTTCTTTTCTGCATTTTTCCCTCCCCTTACTCTCCACTGTGCCAATAAGCGATTTGCAGCTCTGTATGATAAACCAGATGCAGAAACTGATTGAAGGAACTTTGTAAAAAAACCTGCGTGTATCAGAAGTCACTGCCCTTCAAATAAAGACTTTTGTCAGTATACGGTACTTGAAATTACAGTAATTTAAGCTTCCCATTACCAGAGAGAACCCCCCCAAAATCGCAACAGAAGACAGCTGAAGTTTTTACTGACTTATTCTGCAGGTTCAGATTTGCCTCCAAGAGGCCGATGGCGCAATGTTGGGCTGGCACTGGCCTTTACACCGGGTCAGTATCTCGTCTGCACTAGATTCAAGAGGCGCGCACGTCCTTTGGCAGGAAGCCAGCACGCCTTCACTTAACGGGGTGGCGACAGAAAGGCGACGGACAGTCAGTCCCTGCCGCAGGGCAAATGCTGCTCGCTGCCCGAGGCGGGAGCACGGGCCTGTCGGTACCGAACGGGCCCGCCGAGCCGACCGCTGCGTGCGCAAGAGGCGAGGGCCCAGGCCGGACCCCACGGCGTGGTCGCCCACTGGCGCCCGCTGCCACCCAACTCCTCCGCGCGCCAACGTCTGTGGGGAGGTGACAGGGGCTGGACTGCCGGCCCGCGGCCCCGCCCCGCCCCGCCGCCGGCGCCCCGCCTTCTCCAGCTCCCCACCGCGCTCTTGGCGCTGGTGGGCTGGAGGCCAAGGCATCACGCGGAGAGTCCCGTTAGTCCCGCCGCCGCTCGCTGAGTGGCTGTACGGCTGGGCGGTGCTCGACTCTCATTGGCACAGGCTGGGCGCCCTCCCCTTCCGCGCTGTTTTCTGGCGTAGGCGCAGGTGCGGAAGCTGCAGCTGCTCACGACCCGGGGCCGCCGCCGCCGCCGC